TGTGTTTCTATTTTAAAATGAGTAAAACTTAAAAGCACATTTCACTTGTGTTCTCAACAGCATTTCTGCATCTCCATGTTAATGGTTACACAACATGCTGGGATTATGTATCATGTGTATGACGCTGGTGGCTGTTCATGCTCAGATTATTTCCAGCCGGTCTGTGCTCCGCTCCGTTAGTGTCTGAGCCTCCCTCGTCCGAAATGAATCTTCGACCACGTTTGTGTCTCTGGCAGGTGGATATAAAGAACCAGGGCAAGACTGCACTGCAGGTCGCTGCTCACCAAGGCCACATGGAGGTGGTGAAGGCCCTGCTGCAGGCCAACAGCTCCATCGAGGTCAAGGATGAAGATGGAGACACGGCATTGCATTACACTGCATTTGGGTGAGGAAGACACACACACACACACACACACATATGCTCAGGTTTTTTTATACATACACGGATTTTCAGAATACAAAGCTGCAATGATAACACACACACAAACACTTGTTCAGCAGAGCTCTCCTACCATGTAATGTGATAATCCATTTACACCAGTGACAGCACTTAAGTGTTGCCTAATCAGCCAGCCATATCTCCTCCCCCCCTCACAAGATGAACACATGCTCAGAAAACCCAACATCTGATAAAATCTCTGTGGGAATTTCTACTTGTTGAAAACAAGTTTGTGATGCTGACATCTTGCAGCAGCGGGACACCATGCAAACAAAATGTCAGCCTTAGCACGCAACCCTGGAGCTTTGTGTGGCTCCTCGTAGGTTTTCAGAACCAACACGTGCGATTTGTTTATATTCTGCTTTAAATGACCTTAATTCAAAACACTGTTTGGACAGGTTGAATCACTCAACGTAAATGAATGACAATGAGGATTAATCTGTGTGTGCGTGTCTTTTTGTGTCTTTCGGTGTAGTAATCAGGCAGAGATCGCTCGGCTGCTGTTGAGCAAGGGGGCAAACGTCAACCTCCTGAACAACTCCATGTGCACGGCCCTCCACATCGCTGTCAACAAGGGCTTCACTGATGTGGTGCGGGTGCTGACTGAACATTCAGCTGATGTCAATCTCCAGGTGAGATTTTAACATTTAGGTCAGATTTTTTCAGGCATTATATTTGCGGGTTGTCCATACTGATGTAGTACTCTACTTCCCTAAAATGAATATCTCTGGGTCAACCACCACAGCAAACCTTTGTCACACTTCTCTCTGGCTCATCAGGACCGAATAGAGACTGAGCTCATTTCTTAGCATGTAGCAAGAGATTGAACGTAAACCACTGAGTGTAGGGTAGCAATAAACAAGCTTCTCTGCTTGTGTAATTTATCCTACACATGTCATAAACCACTCATACGTTGCCTTTTTTCAAGCAGTTGCAAAAGCACATGCATTTATGGTGTTTGACTGTGTCCCTGTTTCTCTTCATCTCTCAGCCTCATTAAAGCAGTTTAGTTTCTCTTTTAGGGCATTTTGTCTTACACGCCTGCAACCAGGCCCAGAATTAATAACTCTTCTTTTTCTGCTTGAGTTGTGTAGCTACTCAGCCAAAAACATGTCGGCACAGACATCGTTAGTGTGCAGAAAATGTGCGCGAGTGTCTGTTAGTGTGTGTGTGTGTGCGCTATTTAGAGACTTAACTCATGTAAGTCTACTAATTAGCACCTTTGTGATGTTGAGGATATTATACTGTAGATGTTAATGATGCACAAGTTGACTTAAGTTACTGCGATCCATATAATTGCCATTATAACAATATTGTTTATTTTGCTCAAGAAAAGGTCTGTGAACCTGCAGCACCAATTTTTACTCTTTTTTTCCTCCCCAATCAGGATTCATATGGGGACACGCCTCTCCACGACGCCATTGCAAAAGATTTCCGCAACATCATTGAGATCCTGGTTGTGGTGCCCAGCATTGACTTCACTCAGCAGAACCATAGAGGCTTCAACCTCCTGCACCATGCTGCTCTAAAAGGAAACAAACTGTAAGTAGAAATAAAACACAGGCTTTAACTTTCAGTCTTTGTGGTTGACACTTGGTAGAAATTAACAATATGATCTAGTAAATAGTCTCATGTCTTTTTCTTAATTATCAGTTCAGTTGTTCTCATGTGCATGCGTCTAATGATGAGGAACTGATTTCTATGGGCTTATGTGGGAATCTCTCCTGCGTGTTTAAATGAGGACTCAAAGGTCAGCTCTCTTCACTATCATTACAAATGGAGAGCTCATCTCCCACACAGCTTCTGCTGGTGTCAGCAGACTGGCGGTCAATATCAGGAAAAAAAATGCAGCAACCTTTACTTTTGCACCCAATACGTTGACTTGTCCTCCAGATCTTCTCCCAAACTACATTTAGTGCAGCTGTTTCTCGGGCTATGCCGATTTGGGATCCGTGAGTAGACAAAAATTTAAAAAATCCAAAAGCTGCATATTATTTCCCAGGAAAGAATGACTCAACTATAGGTTGTATCACTGCTTTGTCATGGTGAGAGTCAGAAGGAAACACTTTGATTGGCTCCATACTTTTCATTCCTCACTACAACTGCCATTAAACACCATCAGGAAACTGGGGAAAGATCTGCTCAGGCTCTTTTAATCCACACCAAGACACTTGAGGCCACACAACAAGCTTGCCTCCAAGGTTCCATTGTCTTCTGACAGTGTTGATTTTACTCTGATTGACGCTGATCCTCAACGAGGCTCTGACCCGGCCTGAGTGAACATTCTCACAATGATAAGGTTTGATTCCCCAAACACGACTGTTATGTCTGGCTCCATTTGAATGTATCAGTGTGTGCAGTGTGATTGTGCCTCTGTGCATTTTTCCACATCAGCTCCCACACACCCTGAATACCCTGGAAATGTTGTGAGAAAAAACTAACCATAATCAGTGGTTGCTTTATTTATTTTTTTGATTTTATCACAGTTCTCAGTAGTACTGTGAATATGTTATGAAATCATGTTATTGATAAATTAAGTGCTGTACAAGTTATGAAATGAATACTTTTTCCAATCCTGTGACCTGTCATTATAAACCATTCTGTTCATTTTGACTCTGATATGATATTTGATGACTGTTTGCAACATGCAGCATCATATAACTATTCAGAAATCATTTATCTTATATATGAATGATATTTTGATATTTTTTACAGTGTGCAGAGTCCGCCTGACTGTGGTGGCAGTTTCTGGTCCTTAGCTTCCGGGGTTTTTATTACCTGATATGAACTTTCCTTCCCAAATTGCAACAAAACCATGCAATGGAGATGCCACTTTACTAAGGTTTCAGTCTGAGAAGTTTAAGGTATTTTATGTCATTTGATGCATAATATCCTGGATGTTTAAATTCCAAAGAGGAAGGGATCGCTGTTCTCATCAACAGATTGAGTAGATGGACCGTTTGCTTACAGACAGTCCATCAGACAGTGCCATCTGTCAAATACTAAACTAGTCAAAAATGAGTCACACACACGTCATTTCTCATCAAAAGTTGTGAAGAATCTGACCTCCTGACTTCTCCTTCCAGCCGACATGTCCTCATCCCTCTACTGTCAGCCACCCTCCTAGAAATGATCCCACAGAAAATACAATCTCAGGACAGCCTCGTTCATGGGGGAATGTCGGACTGAGCAGGAAAGAAATACAGTCTGCGAGCAATAACTGCGAGAGGAAGAAGGAAGGGAACAGAGGCCGCAGTGGACAGTCATTCATTAAATGTCCAATCTGTTCTGGCTAGTGTCGTATGTGCGGTGCTGAGTTTAGGCCATGCTCCCCAGCATTCATTTAGCCTGACATCGGCCGCTGCGCCAAAAGCAGAACCCCAGAGGATTTACAGTGTTCAGGACAAGCTTGGTTCACCAGTTCATTCATATATCATCAAGCCGGCCTCACATTACACTGATATAGTCCAGGTGCAGCGGAGTCGCTGTGTATTTTCCTAGTTTGTTTTGGCTTTAATACAAACCATAATCTGCTGTTGAATCTATGCAGACTTTAGATTGAGGGTTACTTTAGCCTCTGTAGAGTGAATTAAAGATTAATAGTAGTTTTAAGGGATTTAAGGATGGTTTGTTCCTCTGCCTGGGATTTTTTTCTTGCGGTGCCTAAATTGATGGTTGCTTTACTTTCCTCAGCTTCAAAAGTATCCATCCATAAAAGTATATATTTTATGTCTGACACTACTATGGAGCTCCTGTCAGCAGCTGTGACCCTCTGTTGTTTTTTTCTGAGAGAAAGCTGAAAATGTTTTGTTTATTAGACTATTTATTTATTGTGGGGAAATGGAAAAAAGGGTCTAGAGGCCAAGTTCACTAACAGTCCTGGGAAAGAAATGAAACAAGGCAAGCAGCCAGACTTTTTTACAGCATGACAGAAGAAGCAAATAGATATAGAGGATGGTTAGTCTGTTTACTGTAAGTTTACTTAGCTGGATTTCTCCCTCTTTCCCTGTAATCTCATCTCCTCATTGCAGCTTTGTTTTCTTCTCACTTTCACCAGAAGCACTTTGTCCCACTACAATTATTCTATTATTATTCTAATTCCACAACACACTCCATCTCACACATACAAAATGAAAATCCTTTATTTTAATTATTTTTCATTCACAGAGGCATATAATTGGTAAATCTCTTCAGATTTGAGTTTTATCAAATAGGGATGTTAACTCCTAAAATAACCAAATGATCACATCAGTTTCCATAAAAGTCATTAGCAGTCTACCCAGGATGCCCTCTGGCTGTTTTGTGCAAAGGCATGTTTGCACAAAACTGCCTCCAAACGTCAGCCCAGGTCTGAATATTCATGAACACGCTGGAGTAATGATTATGGAAATAATCCAGAGAAGTGAGGGATTGTGGGTACAGAGGTGACACAACTGACCTGGCTGTTTTCTAATCTGAGTGGCTCAAGATGCTCTTTAAGTTAATTAAGGTGATTTGGAGTCACAACACACATGTGCACAAGTGCGCCAAACATACACATACACAAACACACACACACACTCATACTGAGGTGCATCCTGGGTGCATCGCAAGTACCAATGACTTCCAACACAGTGTCACAGCTTAAGAAATGATACACTGAGCAAAGATCAGCAAGACGTTGAAAATGTAACTGCTCCTGGTGCTGATCAGAGTGAATGTGTGTGTGAATGAGTGATTTAAAAACCGTATCATATTAGTCATTTGTGTCATAGGAGTTTTATTCTGGTAGAAAGATTTTTTGTTTGTTGATAGTTTAATCAACCATGTGCATATATTTGTAGCAGGAATGCACATTGGTGGCAGATGAATGAAAAACAAATAAATGAAAATATTTGAATTTCTGAAAGAAGGATGGCTCCAAACTGGTGTTAAGGAATGGCAATAGTAGAGAGATTTATTTATTCATTTATAGAAATAACTTTACATCATAAGCAGTGAACATTTCTTTTTAAATAAAATGTATAGGTCAATCATGTGTTCCCCAGCTGTTAGCTTGCTTTAGACGTTCATTCTTTTGCTTCATTTTGGTAATTATAGCTTAACTTGTGCTACACCAGTGTTTACAAACAGTAAACCCCAGTAGAGCTAATACTAAAATAAATCAGATGTTCATAGAAAGTTTAGGTCACCTCTCTCTGAAGCCCCCATGGTGACTAGACAGCTTGCTGTGCAGCCTGAGGCTGTCGGCTTCAATTTCACACGTCATAAAACTAACTCAGCGACGGAGCAGAGGACAGCTCAACAGTGCAGCCCAACCTCGCACTGCAGCATCAGCCCGTTGCATAAATCAGAAGAAAAGTTCTCATAGTCTCACTTTACTGAATGTGGCCTCATGATACACTGCAACTGACCTTTTACTCCCTAGGCAAGTTTCACTTTAAAGACAATCTGATTTAAGTAGAAGAGATTAAGATTAAAATATCTGATCTAATTTCCCAAGTTGTGTCAGGAATTGAGCTGCGACGTGTTGACGTGGAGTTTATTATTAACGGTCTGGACGAATGCTGAATATGAGGGAAAACTACAAGGATGGCAGTTATATATTATTATTTAAAGATTAAAGCAACAATTTACATGGAACACTTAAAGGACACTAGAAGTGTGCAGCAGAAAGGCCTGGCTCTTTTCACCACGGACAGCCGTTCATCAGAAGAGCAGGTCAGGTGACCATATTTAGTGACAACTGTCTGCCTGCTGTGTCTCAGTGTTTTCTTGTTAGATCCACTTCTGCAACAGCTGTCTCTGCCCAAGCTCAGGTCAAGTATGCTGTGACACAGGAAGAGCTTTGTATTCTAGGAGGTTTATGTTGCGTTCTTCTTGTGCTTTCTGAACTTGTGTGATTGCAGTCGCTGTCTGATCAGGATTGTGTGACAACACCAGACTAAAATTAAGATATAGGTGCAGAATTAACCTCATGAAAGCTTATCACGTTCAATTACAGTTGAATTGTTACCTTCAGCAGCCTTTAAAGTATTTTCTTTGAGATAGTAAAAAGTACTGGGGCAACTATTTATATATAACTGTTGTTAAAATAACGATAATGAGCCATGAGGGCTGTTTTGCAAACTGGCTAATTGAGTCTTGTGTTGTTTGATCCGGTGGCAGGGCCACAGAGAAGATCATGGCTCGAGCACGGCAGCTGGTGGATGTTAAGAAGGAGGATGGCTTTTCCGCGCTGCATCTGGCCGCCCTCAACAACCACAGGGATGTTGCTGAGATCCTCATCAAGGAGGTGAGCCGAGGACAGGAGCAAATCAGAGTCCTGTAAAGCTCATACGTCCATACATCTTTTATTCACTGTTTTTAATCATTATGAATTTCTGGCACATGTTCCTAGTAGGGGAATTTCAATATCCTTTTTTCTAAACCACCTCTTCCACAGGGACGCTGCGACATCAACATCCGCAACAACCGCAACCAGACGCCACTGCAGCTGGCAGTGACGCAGGGCCACACCGAGCTGGTGCAGCTTCTGGTGGCCGAGGGGGCGGACGTCAACATGGAGGACGAGGACGGCGACACGGCCATGCACGTTGCCCTCCTCCGCCCACAGCTGGCCAATGTTATGCTCAGTCCCACCGTGGGAACCAGCAGCACCGAGGAGAGCAGTGAGGGCTGCTCCTCCACGTCGCTCTACTGCAGGGTGAGAACTGACAGGGTGGTGGAGGAGAAGTAGCATATTGTTGACCTGTTGTTTTAACAGATTTTTTAATTATTTAGAAGGAAAGCAATTCGATAAATTAACAATAGCTGGAAGATTCTATCATTCATATTACTCTCAGTAACTGTTGGGATTTGTGGGAGATGGTGGTGCATGTGTCAACCAATATGAACATATGAATAGAACTTAACTACTTTACTATCTTTGATCAAGTTTGCAGACAATGTGCCTTTATACATTAATAGGCCACATCTAATATCTTTAATTTTAATTATTTTTTTAGGATTGTTAACATGCCTTATTCTGTATTTACTTAAATTACTCAACTCATATGCTGAATTCTGGGTATTGCTGGGACAGATTGACGTAAAAAAGACACAACAAAACTTAAAAAAGATCCCACAGGAAGAAAAAGTGGCTAAATACAGACTGGTGAGTGGGTAAATAAAGACAGTTACGAAAGGAAGAGAACAAAATAACATTCAAAGATAGAATAAGTAGACGCCTATGGTTGGTTAATTAAGACTGAAGCCTGGAGGAGGGATTAGTAGAGTCTTAAGGAGGTAAATACTGACTAAGAGTTAATAACCAAATGAGGCACAAGGGGAGAATGGTAAACAAAACCTGAGGGAATGAGTGTCAGTGTCATTTGCTTATAGTCTTGAGGCTTTAATGTAGGATAAAGAAGCTAGTTGCCAGGTACACGATGGAACGAATGTGGTGAGTCAAGTAGGCAGACTTAAAGAGATGGTTAATTTAAGATTATTGTGTAAACAGGATAATAGAGATGGCTTAACTGAGGAGAAAGTAATCAGATAAGAGTGCCCTGAGGTGGTATTATATCATATGTAGGGAAGAAGCAGGTGTTTCAGCTACAGAGTGTTTTGGGGGGAACAAGAGCAAAGAATCATAAAGGAAATAACCAGATTAATTATTTAACTCTATATATTGAGGACTTATTTTGTTATGGATAAAGTGTACCTTTAATTTCAAGTTTTAAAAGGAAGCACAGGCAAAGAATAGATGTATTCAGACATGCACTCTTTCATCTTTGCATAATGGGGTCCGGGCGTTGTGCTGAGTTCTGCATTTCATAAATGAAAAATACAGCAGTACCTTCTGCGAGCATCTCAGTAGATCATGCAAGAGGCAGGACATAATGTGTAAATTCCATTGGGGGGATCAAGTTTTTGTTCACAGCACATTTATACCGGTCCTTACAACCAAAAGCCCTTGAATCTCGTTGTTTTTCCAAGTTGATTTCTTCTTTGGCGTCTTCTTCATACATGACATCTCTTTTCCTTCCTGAGTGTGCATGTTTGCATTGTTCTTCATTGTCAGTTTTTGTGTCTGTTGCGTGATAAAAACCTAATCATCACGCAAACTCACTCTAGCTACTAGAGGTCTGGTAAGAAAACCTCCAGATATTGTCCAAAGCCTCGGACTCTGTAATTTGCGATTTCACATACAGTCCCTCTGGATAATTAAGGAGATTATTGGGAGTTCAGAACATCTTTACTGTGACAATATTGATTTGGCAAAGACGTCCCTCCAGTTATGATAAATGATAAATGTAAAAGGAGTACAGTGTAAACACACATTGTGTCATTTTTCCCCAGAAGACATAAGTGATTGAATCCTCAGGATTCCATCTACTCTTTGGTGATCATTTTTTATCTGTGGATGGAAGATTCAATACATCACTGCTGCATCTATGGCAATTCCAATGTTTATTATCACAAGCGAGGATAAACTTGTTCATGTTGATGAAGGGCATGAAGAGTTTAATGAAACCCCAGGCTGCATGTGACTCTTCACTGGAGTTCAGTATCATTACACTGAAATGATTGATTATCTTTCCCACCAGCAAGCTGTAAACACATCACAGAAACATCCTCACTTTATATAGCAAATAACACACAAAGCAGCATTATGATAACATTAATTTCGAGTCATATAAGCAAGTTTGAGCTCAGTTAACCCTGCAAGGTTGGTAGTGCACACTTGGTTTATCAGAGTTTTTTTTTTTAAACAGTCCATTGCTGCTGGGAGCAGCGAGACTGAAGCAAAACAGCAAAAGTTGTGGATCGTAAAACCAAAACACTGAGCTGAGAGATGCTCTGTAAACCTGATAATCCTTTGTGGATTCATCCTCTCATTATTACTCATGTAGTCAACCGACCTGTTGTTAATATAAATATATTGACTAGAGAAGCTTTTAACACCCGCTAAGGGATTTGTTCATAATATGTTCACAACTGTGTCCACACTGTAATGAGATCAGAATTTAAATAAATAATAAATAAATAAACCCCCTTCATGCTGTTGAGAGACATCAACTCTCTTTTGGTTTTCATCATTAATAGACTTCGACTCTCTGCTCTGTGCTGCGCTTGAAATACTGTTTTTACTCAGTTAGTGTTGATATCATTGCACAGATAAAGAACGTCCTTTCCAGTCTACATGACCGCAAACACTGCAGCTCCACTCAATGTCCTGGGAACCTGCCAAATACGCCCCCCCCCCACACATGCACACACACACACACACACACACACACACACACACACACACACACACACACACACACACACA